AACTCTCTGATGTCAGTAAGAACTAGTAGAGGACTTCTTCGGCACCATGTATTAGTTCATATTTTCTCTCTTATTTAGGAAATTCAGAATCATGTCAGATGATATGAACATGGGCATTTTATCTCTTTAATCATGTCTTTTAGTAAAATGTTTAACCCTATCTATAGAGTTTGCATTAAAAAAGTTACAGCAAGTAAGATATTTTACACACCATACTGAAGATGTTTCCCAACATGGGTCTAGATTTTGCTTGTGTTTTCAGATTTTGTATGTTGACATATTTCATTACTTCTATTTAAACAATATGTATTTGCTCTGGACTCTTTTAGCAAGTCCATACAAGTAGACACAAGACACATTTCCATCAAATGTCTTCCTAGTTATCACAACAACATTTACTTAACCTGTCTTTGCACTACTTCATAAACTCCTGTAGCACAGGTGATTAATAGTTTCATCAGATTGTTAACTTTATTTTGCTCCTTTATTACCATATTCTTTTATGTTGATTGGGTAAGTAATCTCTTCATATTAACCTCCAAATCATTCATTTTATCAAAAAATTTCAAAGTCAATTGATCACATTCTTTGTACACTTAAGAAATTATTACTGGGAATTCGTTAGCAGGAACCAATTAAATAAATAATTAAGGCCATTAGTCAATCTAAATTGCCTTATGATTGCTTTATTTATTTCAGTATATGTAGTTTTAAAATTATACATTTAAGACTGTTATTCTTATTACTGTTAATTAGTACTAACTTAACTTATCCTGTATCATGACAATTAATTTGTCATATGTGGATCCTTCTATGAAAATCTGTTTTTTGTGCTTATATAATATTGTAGACTCCTTCAGTAAATGCTTAATTTCTTTTAAATAAATAAATAAAAATTATAATATATATTATAAAAACATTGACTGCCTTTTATCTTGAACTATTTTATGATTCAGAGTATACACAGAAATCTTCCAAATTACAACAGTATATTTTAAGATCCTAATCACGGAGTGCAGATGGCACCATATATCCTGTTTTAGAATCAATTCATTTTGTTAAACTTCCCAAAGACAAAATAAATGAAATATCCTTTTACTGAAGAACACTAAGTACTCAAAAGAAAATTCAAAGCCTTCACACTTACAAAAACCAAAGGAAACTATGTCTACAGTACTCCGTGCTACACACACTTGACTTCATTCTTCACTTTTCTCTCTTTTATTCACTGTTCTCCAATCACTCCTCAGAACCAGGCATGGTTTTAATCGAACAGCTTATTTATTTGTTGTTCCTGCAGTTAGAGTTTACACCCAAAGACAGTCAGATACCTTACTCTCTCACTTCCTTTTCACTCTAAGTCATCTTTGTTTATTTTACTATTGTCTTTCCAACTAGATTAGAAGCTTGCTTACTATAGAAATTTTTGTGTTTTGGTTTTATTCAGAACCTACAATAGGGCTTTGTAAACACCAGGTACTTAAAAATACAAACAAAAGACAATGATTGAATGAGTAGTTCTTTAACTGTACATGGTCTGAGTCATATGCTTAGTTAAACATCTCTGCTTTCTCCTCTTACTAGCTACATTTTCTTGGTCAATCTCTTTAGATGTTCTATGTACCAGTTTCCTTATTAAAAAAATACAAGGTAGCACTTTAAGTTACAGTGTTAATAGCTGGGAAGTTGCCATGATAAGTCATTATAAAACAAATCTTACCTAATTATTTCTTTTAGTTTCTAACCGCTTTTCCCTCACATTCATTCTAATTCTTTGTAACACTGCACAAGGTACAGTTGGCCCTTCATATTAGCAAGTTCTGCACCTATACATAGAAAATATTTTGAGAAGAGAAAATCTGTACTGAACATGTACAGATCATGTTAGAAAAAAAGATTATTCCCTAAACAATACACTATAGTAACTAATAACAAAGTTTTTATATTGTAGTAACTATTACAAGTAATCTAAAGATGGTCCAAAGTACATGGGGTGATATACATAGATATAAACCCATATTTCACCATTTTAGAGAAGCGACTTGGGTATCCACATTTTTGCTAGTACAGGAAGATAGTATGTGTATGGAAAGAATTCCCTAGCAGGTAGTCAGGGCTGAGTGACTACACTGCTATTCTCGGGGAGAACACCTTTTATAAGTGTGAAAACAGTATCTGTATCTTAAGGTTCTCCTTGAGTTCTCTATTTTGATCTGTACTTTATTTTTGCTATACTCTTTAGCTTCTATTTGTCAAACTTATACTCATCTATGACTTTTTTGATCATTTTTATACCAACTTATTTTAGTTTTGTCTCATATACTGTTATAAGTGAAGGAAAGACCAGGAATGGTAATCCATACTTGTAATCCCAGCACTCAGAAAGCTGAGAGAAAATTATTCCAAGTGTGAAGACAGTATGAGATTCATGAAAGATCCTGTCTCAAACAGCATTAACAATAAAGTGAAAGGTGAGAACTGGGAATACATTAACTCCATCTATGAAACTCTAGTAGGATTTATTCTCCACAAGCTGCCCTGCCTTCTAACGGAGTGGATCCTACTGGGAAGTGCAGAATTTTGAGCATGCATTTACTCTACCCATTGAGAAATTAGGAAGCTCTTTTCAAGTTTTTTTTTTTCTCTCCTTTTAAATCATTCATAGGACAGAATGAAGGCAGCAAAGCTGTAGGGTTAGAGCCATCTAAGCCTTTTGAAACCAAAGCGCCAGATACTAACATGGAGGTGTAAGATCCGGTGTTTGCCCTGTTGGATTTGTCTTGCTTTATTTCAGTCTTTCCTCATTATGTCCTTATCCTTCCCTAATGCAATGGGAAAGTATACTCTGTGCCTTGTATGTAAGATGTACATATGTTGTGGGTTTTATCTTCTGTTTTAATTTTACAAGGGGTCACAGTTGAAGAGATTGACTTTAGTCTCAGAAGATACTTCAGATTATGGGGAAATATAGAATATGGTGGTTTGAATAATAATAAAAAAAAAAATCCCCTATAGCCTCATATATCTGACTACTTGGGTCCCTAGTAGGTGGCTCTGTTTGGGAAGGTTTGAAACATTTAGGAGGTGTACCTTTGCTGGAAAAAGGGTATTCTGGTAGTGTCTTTCATAGTTTGGGTCCACTTCCTCTGGAGAGATGAAACATAATCTGGCATGCTACCCCCACCATAATGAACTCTATCCCCCTGGAACTGTAAGCTAAAATAAATCCGATTTTCCTCAAAGTTGCTTTTAGTCATGCTTGCTATTTTTAATTTTCATAACAAAAAATTGTAAAAAAGCAGTAATATCAACAGGGCTTTTTGTGGATAAGAATTGGGAAGACACTAATGTAATGCCTCAGGGTATCAGAAGTCTTTTGACTACATACCAGTAAATTATATATTAGATGAAAAAGTCATAAAAATTCTCAACTTTGAAAGGGATTACATCCTGATAAATTATGAATTCAAAATACTATAAAAATGCATTTAATACTTCTAGACTACTAAACAGCAAAGTTTAGCAAAATAACCCACTAGAGTACTTGCTGTTCACCCTACTTACTTCCTGAAAGGGAGCTGTGGCCTGCTGTCTCAGCCCAGCGCCACTGGAGACTACTGTACACTAAACCAGTTAGTTCCCAGATTCAGGATTGGCTTTTCTTGCTCAAGCTATTATAGTCTTTGAGGCTTTAAAATTTCTACGAACATATCTGATTATGTATTAAAAAAAAACCCAAACACCTACATCAGATGTCTCAATAGCTATAAAGGGATATAAGGCCCTCTATGAACTTTATTATAATATTTTTTTTAAAGCCTAAGGTGCTACAAGAGTTTAGTAATAAACACTTGCCTAAAAGGCACACAGCCCTGGATGTAATTAATCTCAATAGTGCCAAAACAGAACAAAAATGGGTTGAACAAAACAGGTCAAAGCAAGCAAATTAAGATGATAACAGATGTACTAAGTAGTTTCAAAACTATAAAACAGGTAGTCAGTCATCCATGTACCCAGGAAGAGAATGAACCCTGAATGTTCCTAGAGCTTTTCATTTACTAAAGATAACTTTTCAACATAATGTAAATATAAATAAATGAGCATTAAAAACACTTCATTTGTATTTTTAAAAACACTTTCTCTACAGATACTGAACCTAAATAGCATACTATTAATGCTCACTTCCTGAATTTTACAATTATACTGTAATTACAAAACACAGCATCTTTGTTTTTAAAGAAGCATATACTGAATAATCATGGGTAAAAAAAAAAAAAAAACATGTCTATACTGCACATAACCCATGGGGAAAAACTGTAACACATAACTGAAATAAAATTTAATACTTAAAAAGGAAAAACAACATAGATATGAAAAAAAGGAAATGACTCAAAATGTAAAATTTTTAGTAGTTGGACAAACTATTTGAATTACATAAAGGAATTTTTTAGCAGTCTTAGTACTTTTCCCTGAATCTGAAATTATTCGAAGATATATTTTTTGTTTGTTTGTTTGTTTTTGTTTTAAATACATATAGAAACTCAAAAACTAAGGTTGGTAAATATAAATCCCCCAGTCAAAGATGGAAAGAATAAAAGTTAAAAGGATCATACAATTAATTGGAAGAGACGAGGCTAGTGTTTATTTTATTCAAGCCTTTAGTCCATAGGAACTGCTTAATGCTCTAACATAAGATATGCAATGAATCAATATTTTACCTTTCATATCTCTGAGACGAACATATACCTGACAAAATTTTCTTCCTCTTAAGGTCTGTTATTAATCACTATGTTAAAACTACTATGTTTAACTATGTTAAAAGTTCTTACCATTGACAGGCAAATAAACAAGTGATTCTGTTATTTACAAAAATGAGTAAGTCCTACTAAAAAGGGCATATCATTATCAAAGAATATTTTAGTAAACTAACTTATTATTTTACAACATAGATATTCCACTCATAGCACCTACCAAAACATACTGTTAGGTGTATAACTTACCTGAGAAGTCCCACTGAAACCTGAAGGTTGGCTGTATTCTGTAGAATCAATAATACTACTGTAAAATGAAGAAAGAAGAATATAACTTCAGTACTTAACATTATTTTAGTAACAGGAAAAGTTGATCTAAAAAATGTATCATTTATAAACCCAATATTTATAATTTTAAGTAAACATTTATTGCCAATCATTTAATTAGACATCAAAGGGCCCATAAACATTACTCCTCCCAGCTCTTCAAACATACATATCAAGAAAGGTTATCAAATGGAAATAATCATAAGGCCAGTGTGCACACAGATTTATTTCCATTTCCAAATAGGTTAGTAAGGTTTGGAATTTTGAGGACAAGAGGATTTACAATACTGGGGAAAACATTAGCATGCACTTGATGAGCTACAGTTAACAGACCCTACTATGGCATTCAGTAGCCATGTGCTCTTAGACAATTACCTTACATCACTCAGTTTCCTCATTACCAAATGAGGTGAATGAGGACTATCTATCTCTAGATAAGTTTCCAGCCCCCAAATGGCGTGACAAAACCTGGTAAAAGAGAACTATCAAAGGAATAGAATAAATGTAAAATAACAAAAATCTTCTCTCCTAATTCCAAACCCACATGATATTAGTTTTCTCTGCCCTGGCGGATACAGTCTGCTTTCTATGCTGTTTTTCATTTGGGTACACCTTCTCCTACTTAACTCTAAGACAACCTTCAGAAACTCAGGCTAGCTTATTTTCTTTATTTCATCACTATTGTCTCTCTACCATCTTTAAACAAAATTAGCTTATAAAAACTACCAACAATAGAAAGGCACTAAAAGCACTAAAGCTCATAAATGCCTTTAGACACAGAACAGTGAAAGCTGAAGCAGATTGACCACAAGTATGAGACGCCTTTCTTCAAACAACAGCAATACTAAAATAATAAAAATTAAAAATCTACAAACAGAAATACAACTACCAACAAATAAAAACTATAAAATATATTTTTACACGATAATTAGCTATTCACATGCTGCCTCTATTTCTACAATAAGCATGTTTATATTATTTTCATCTTAATAAAATCAAACCACTGAGGATAGTAATTAAATGGTTCACTACACAAAAATCATAAATTACTTTGGCACTGAAATAACCTAAAGGTTATGAGAGGTACTTTTAGAGTTTGGATTTTTAATTAAGCAGCAAATAACTTGACTCTAGGCAGGTAGTTCTTATGTGAGCAGGAGTTTCTCCATCTATTAAAAGATGACAACATGGCACAAAAATGGGAAACTGAAATGTAGCATTAGGTATAGCATTAAAATACAGTAAACAATTGATCTCTACTTCTATCATTAAAAATTAGCATAAACCCTCACATTTTTTAAATATTATAATCATATAGAATGCCCATATGATTTTTTAAAACTGTACACTCCTACTGACTATACAGGTCTTGGTTCATTGTCATCTACACTGTTTCTGTAGTAAAGTTCAACACACAGCCAAGAACCCTTATTGACACTATCAAGAATTTATGGACTCTTGGTATTAGATGAGCAATTAAGACGTCAAATAAACACTAAACAAACTCAGTAACCCCCCGCCCAACATACACACACTTGTAAAATTATAATAATTTTTTAAAAGGCCATGCATTCGAGAGGAAGTGAGGGAGGAATAATGGGAGGGGCTAGAGGAAGGGTACATGAGGGCAGCTGGAGGTGGGAAAGTTAAGAAGGGAATTATGTAATTATATCTTAATTAAAATAAATCTATGAACTCTTGAAGTCACTTTCTTATGATGAAATACAATGAATCTATGCATTCCCTGTAGTCATGGATTTGTGGGGGGGGAGGGAACCACATGCTATTTTTGGTTTCTTCATACAAGTACTAACAGCTGAGAAATAAGTGGATGCCTGCATAAAAAAATGTTTCCTTTACTAATAAAGCAATTCCTAGCATTTGTACATCACTAATAAAATCACATAGTTGTGGGGCTGAGGAGATGAGTCAGTTGTGGGTAAAGTGCCTGTTGTTGTGTACATACACAACACACAACTACAATCCCATATCCTTCCACAGACAGGTAGTACCTACATCTTGACATTACTATTTATTAAAAAAGTATGGACAATGTGCCATATTATTAAGTACTTTGTATTTTATTTAAAAAAAAAGTAAAGAAGAATCCTTTATTAGTCTATCCATTTCATGAACAAATACTAGGGACCAAAAAATTTTACCATCTAACATGAGACAGCATTATCAACTATTTTATGTAAGTATCAAAATTTTTAATAGTTAAAAAACTAATAAGGACATTAAAAAATGGCATGGGAGAAAGAAATTTTTAAAGTGGTAACTAAAAGCAAATTATGAATAATACATTTGAATTAAATTGAGGAAAATAAGATGGTGATTCCTAATGTTTCTGCTGGTAAGAATGAGAACATTAAATAAAAATGCAAATAAAAACAATGTAGGCCTCGGGGTGAAGCTCAGCAACACAGTAGCCGCTGACTAGCAAACCATAGGACACTAGATTCAGCCCCAGGCATCAAGGTGCATGTGTGTTAAAGAGCACAAACACAGACTAGGAGTCACAGGACTATCAACACAACCTGTTTCAAAAAGCACACAGAAGACATTTTGTCATGTAAAATTTTACAAAAATCAATAATGTTTCATTTCTGGTAAACATAGTAGATTTACTAATTTTGGATTGGACTGTTGTTTGAAAAGGGATGGCTTACATTTAAATGATTAGAATACATAATATCATCTAGCTAAATTACAGTAATTTTTAAATCTAAAAGGCTGAGATAAAGGCAACACTGGATTTTAAAATAAACAACGGAAACGACCCAAAACATTCAAGTACGCATGTAAAATTAAACTGCTACCAATGACGTGTGTTACTAACTTATGGTAGAGAAAAAAAATAAACCTTTGTTCTTAATAAATCATGAGGAACTATAAAAAAAAACTTCATTGTATGATTACTGAACCATTTCCCTATAACAAATAATTGACATAAATATTTTAAAAACTTTTAATTTCAAATAGTAAATCTCATTTATTAACAGCAAAATTCTCATGGACTGAAATGTGCAGACACCTCCAAAGATAATAAAATTATTTTCATACTCATACTCATTTATTTTCTTTTCTTTTACAAATCCTTGGACATTAAAATTTAATACAAGCAGTAAACAAATCACCTCAAATAATGTGACTACATTGTCAACCACAGCAACAGCAGCAGCTAACATCCACTGAGTCCTATGTGCAGACATGACTCTCCTCACTTCAACTGTGCTATCATACCCCATCAGTCGGCTGAGTAGTATCCTATCTGTAAATGAACAAACTAAGGTGTACACACTAAACTTGCTTAATGTAAGTTACAGAGATGAAATGTAAACCTACAGCATATTTCTAAAATCCCTACACTAAAATTGCCAAAGTGATCTGTCTTTGGAAGAGTCACTGCCTGGTCATTTTGAATAAAAAGTTTCTCCTTAACTTCTTAATGTTTAAAGCTCAGCTCCTGGGGTGATTTGCACAGACCTCTTTATAGTTTCTGAAGTAAGAATACCTGGATTAGGATGTCAGTTGTATACTAACTGTGATGCTGGGAAGAAAATTTATCTGTTGATTATATTTTTAACCTGTAAAATGGATTAAAGGAAATAATCCATGTAAATTATAAAATGCTATCCAATACGTGGCTATAATATTCTGGTAGTTTCAACTTTTGAATATAAAGTTCTTTTATGACAGGACAGACCTCCTAATTTTAATACAAAATTACATTTTAGAATATTACAAAAAAATTTTAGCACCTTCCTGTTCTCTTAACTTACACATGATTAGAAAGCATTCTAGTTACATAACGCATACCCTGAGCAGGGAACCTAATATTTATACTTCCTTTTAAAGTATTTGTTATTCCACAATAATTCTGAAGCTGAAAAAGAAAAACAACTATTTTAAAGCTTAATTTGTAGATTCATAGAATAGTTTCCTTCAGGAGAAATTTACTGCTTGTAGATGTAAATGCAGGAATGATGAAAATTTTTTGACAGAACAGATTTCAGCCTACCACTTTACTTCCTTTTAAAGTAAACAATTTTGCTTGGTAGAATTCCAAAAATAGAAAAAGATACATTCAAATATAATATACCTGTACACTTGTACATACAAACAAAATTGTGACTGAGTAACAAAAGAATTAATATATTAAAATATCAAAACACAGCAGCATTAACTTCAGGTAGGAATACTTCTTGATGCCATGGCAACTTACATGTCATTAAGTAGAATTCAGAAAGGACAGTGCTCTCAGGGTTTTAGTATTTCATTTAGGATCACTATGTTTGATTTTGAAAAGAACAAAAACTTTTATCTCTGTACACATGGAAACATGGATAGATTTAAGTGTCCTGTTTTGACACAAATTTTGGAAGTCATGTAACTTCTCTTGATATCTTGGTAAAAGTGCTACAACCTAGATCATTTGAATATATTTAATTGTGTCATAATAACATTTACAAAATGTATCTTTCCTATCATATTGAGGGTTCTATTTGAAAAATTCAGTTTCTTTATATTTCTAACATAGACTGGCCAAGACAGTAAAGGTAAGCGGGCTGGTGGCAGTACAGAATGGGTATTCATTTTCTTATGGCATTTTACCTTAAGAATTAAATAGTGCTTTAACATTGTTGGCTGGCTTTTTTTTTTTTTTTTTTTTTTTTTTTTTTTTTTTTTTTTTGGTTTTTTGAGACAGGGTTTCTCTGTGTTGCTTTGCGCCTTTCCTGGAACTCACTCTGTAGACCAGGCTGGCCTCGAACTCACAGAGATCCGCCTGGCTCTGCCTCCTGAGTGCTGGGATTAAAGGCGTGCGCCACCACTGCCCAGCGTTGGCTGGCATTTTTAATGCAGGCAGTAAACTTAATTTTATATAAGCATGGCATGAAATAGAAAAAAGAGTTTGCTTTGTAGTCTTTTAAGTGCCTAGTAGGTAGTCACAGGAACTCACAGATAAGTACAAGAAGC